AACTTGGTGTGTAAGTAGCCTTTAGTTTAGTTTTATGGAGATACAAAATATCTATTTAGTTAGATGAAATTAGTTACATTAAAAAATTAATGTTTTAAATTAGATATTTCTAACAATTTTAATTTTGAAAAATAGAATTAGCAGTTGAGATATAATTTGTTGTTTGCAATATAATTATATATTAATGAAAAATTCATATAAATAGGAAAATATTTTTATTTAATTTTTTTTAGTAAAGAGATTAGTTAATTGCTGGGATTTTTTTAGTCTATGGATTTAGATTTAAAATATATTTATTAGATATATAAATTTATTTTATTAGAAAAGCTTCTAAAGGAAGCTTCATCAAACACCATTTACCAAACGCACCACCTCATGGCGGTAAGCGGATTCAGAAATTGTCAATGTAGTGGACTAAAATTAAACATAAATTTAATAACACAATTTCTTAAGCAAATTTTTTTATTAGGATTTGTTTGACTTGAGCCTTTATTTTAGTATTGTGACTTAATTGACTTGGGCTTGTTTGGGTGAGTTAATACTAATAATAAATTTTTTTTTATAAGCTGGGTTAAAATTACCTATAGTAACAAATAATTTTTGTTTTTTTGAGGTGGGCTGGAGCCCAGCCCAGTCGTACCCTAGATACACCATTGCCATTACCTGTATATAAATCTAAATACCATGTGATATTACTAAACGTGTGGAGAATGTTTAAAAATTAAATATAATATTCTCTATTTTTTTCCAAGTCAACTAAATATGGTGCAATTTAAGCTCAAATAGACATTAATAATCTCGTAATAGTAAATAAAAAAACTGAATAAAATAAAAATTCAGGATCCTACACCCTTGTCTTCGTTAAGGTCACGGGCGAGTCAAAGACTGTTTGTATTTTCTCTTTACCAGTTGCGAAGCGAGGCTTTAGACAGTGGGTATTCAACTACGTAGAGGGGCGATTCAAAGGCGTTTTTGGAATTTCAAGCACAAGCAACTTCGATCGATTTAGTTGAATTCTCATTACAAGTTGGTATTCCAAAATATTTTTAATTGTTATGGGTATATTATTTTTCCTTAATTCAATTTGAAAGCAAATGTAAAAAATGGTTGTGAGAATATTTCATAACGGGAAATTAAAAACGGGAATGACCTTCGGTTGCTGTTTGATCAAGGGTGTGCTGTGGCTTTTGGACATCACTTTGCTCACTGATGTAACCACATGTTTCATTGTCTTCTTTGTTGTTAGGTGGTTGTGTTGCCTGCTTGTTGCTTGTCTTGCTTTGGTTGTTTTTCTCTTCCCATTGTACATTCTCTCTTTTTCTTTAATACAAGCTTACCAAAAAAAAAAAAAAAAAAAAAGAATTATTTCATAATTTTTCTTGGGTATATTTTGTTTTTCCTAAATTCAATTTGAAAGCAAATATATAAAATGATTATGATTGCTACTTTGATCATTATTGTCATGTGCTTGGATTGGGTCGTGAACATGTATATTTGCACTTATTTGTTGAAGAATCAGTTTGATATTTACGAGGTTATATATATCGTTGTTAACTGATAACCAAGAATAATAATAATAATAATTATTATTTTTTTCTTAAGTCTGATTAGAGGAGTACTTATATATTGTTTAATATTACTTGGGAATAAGAAGTCATGCTGCTGTTTTTTTACAGACATACATTCCTTTGGATCATTTTCATTCTTGAGAGGCTCAGGACCACCTAATTGTATTCATCTAAGATCATTAGGAAGAAAATGAAACATTCTTGTGGAGAGAATTACTACGGTAAATATACATAGGATGAAGAGGATGTGGCTAACTCTACTCTTACAGTACTTTGCTTCTATATGATTGACCTAAGGCTTTGTTTGGAATTCGGAAACTAGGAGTTTCGGAAAGAAAGGAAAGTATTACAAAAAGATACTCCCAGTCTATTCTAAAATTTTGAAATCTTGAATGATATTATTAACTGTTCATATCCTTGAGCTATGTTGTATATCCTTTGTAATTTCATTTCATTTAATTATTCACTACAAAGAACGAATTGTGATTGGACTTCACTCACATCACAAACCAATTAACTTTGTAAGAGAAGCAAGCATGGCGACTGTTTGAAACAAACTTAGAGAACACATTTTTAAGCTTTGTATGTGATCTCATCTGTACTTCTGTAATGCTTAAACTTAGATGTTGGATGTGCCTCATGGGGTCCTGAAACAATATGAATGTGCCTAACTACAGAGAATTTGAGAACAAATTCATTTCATCCTTTTGTCTTTTGATGGAACTATTTCTTTCTCTATTATTATTATTATTATTTATTTATTTATTTTTACTGTTGTATGTGATCTTGAACAATCTACCACATATTTTACTACACGACATGTGAATTATTGAGCTTTTCTGTGTATTATTTAATTCTGAGCAGCCTTGGTTTGTCCCAGACATTTAATTTTCACGCATTGTCAAACATTTGCAGGATAATATCGATCTCTTCTTTCGCATAGGGAACAACATAGCTGCCATCCTAAATGAGTACTCAGATATTTTAATTCTGATGGTTCTAATCAGGTTCATGGCTGACTTTAATGTTGCTAATACTTTCTCTTGTGTAAATGCTTGTTAATCTCGATCCATTTCCTTTAATGTTGCTAATACTTTCTCCAATCTAACCAATCTGACATAGTTTAATAGGAAAGCGTGGGTCACACTCAAGAAACAGAGAGCATGGTTGTAAGGAACGGTAGTAATCATGACAAATGAAAACAATCTGTTAATTGTTGTACTCACCTTGAAAGGCACCTCATTTGTTTCTCTTATTAATAAATGGATTTTTGTTACTTCGGTAGTAATCATATACAAATGAAAGAATTCTTACTTCGGTAGTAATCATATACAAATGAAAGAATTCGGGAAAAGGATCAATTCATTTTAAAATCCGGGATGAATGGATTTTAGAGAATTTAGGCATGCTAGCATTTCATTGACACAATCTAATTATCCATCAATTCATGCTCTTAACAATTGTCCAATGCTTTGCATATCAATTCCACAATGAAATGAATACATACATATCATATAACAATCCGCACCTAAGAGGTTACATGATGGTATATGTATTCAAGGTTGAAGTAAGCTAAATTAACCACAAGGATTATAATACGTAATCAAAGTAAATCATAGGCAAACATTTCTTATGCTTTAGAACATTAAATAAGTCTAGGTTATGGATCAAGTATACTAAATACTATCATATATAACTCACAATATAAGCACCACATATGATATATATACTCCAAAACACACACAAATACTAGTTTAGAGTTATACTACACCCCCTACCTTACTTTAGGATAGCAACCTAGAAAATCCAAATGCAAAGTAGTCCAAAGCCAAAACAAAGAGAAGGGTTTTGCTGGCCATTGAGTCCCCAAGATTTTTTTTTTTCCTTCTATAGCTAGTCTAAAAGGTGAGTGGAAAGTGAAGAAAGTGAAGGTCCAATGTGGAGCTTAAGAAAATGAGGAAGAAGAAGAAGATTAGGAGAAAAAGTATGTAAGTAAAGATGATATATATCTCAAAAACCTACCCTAACACTACCTCTCTCTCTCACACACACATTCACACCCTCCACTTGTCAACATCCTAGCCCTCCACAAGCTTCCAATCCCTCTTCAACACATGGCCCAATCAAAATAAGACATTTGTCCCCAACTTTCCCTATTTGCACAAAAGTCGACCTAAGAAATATTTCCAAAAGATATTCGCACTATTGCCCCCAAAAAAAATATCTTCAAAAGATATTCGCACAAAGACCCTCAAAATGAAAATGCCCCCAAAATATAATCGCACAAATACCCCCAAATAATACAAAATCAAAATGTATACAACTGCAATGCAATTTCATCATGCCCTGAGGGTAAAATGTGCAAGAATGAATGAATGTAGTGTTGGGAACTATTCAGCACTTGACTTGGCCTTGGGCCCATATAACCTGAAGAGGAAAAGAAATAAGATAAAATAAAATAATGCCGAAAAAAAAAAAAAAAAAAATTGACACGTCATCATATAACACCCCGATGTATTTTTGCTACTCTCTGTTTTTGTTGCAAATAAACTATATATATATGGAGTGCAATTATCAATTCCCAAAAATAAAAAATAAAAAAAAGAAACTTAATGCAACAAAAATATTTTGAAACAAAATCACTTTTTATATTGTTCCTTGTGAAGTGGCCGTGGATATTTTTGTAAGAACATTAAAGCAAATGACACAATTTTAAAAGGGCACTAGTCACAGAATTTTCTTTTCCTTTGAAAATATCCACGGCCACTTCACAAGGAAAAAATAAAAAATAAAAATCCAACACATAAAAAGATCTTCTTTATAAATTTTATATTGAAATTTGTTTCGTATAGTATTTCTAGATGCGTCATAAAATGATAAATTTCATCCACCTAGACTAAGCATTCCCATGAAGAGATCGAACAACAGATGCATCACATTTGTTAGTGTTATTCTCCACACACACACACACACACACAAGCTGAGCCTATCTCTATTTGCTATACTATAAATATTATATTCATAATACTACGTATAAAATAAAATAAAAAATATCTCCAATAGATTCTTTATAGATAATATCCATATGAGTAAGAAACTACTTTACATGTAGCATAGATAGGTTGGAGTCAATTTTAAATTGATCGTACAACTTTCAAGGATTTTCATTCACCAACTATTACGTAGATAAAATGTTGCTTTAATTACTGACCATGTAGAAACCCTAATTTATTTGGGCATGATTTGATTGCAATTGGGCAACTTGCAACTTATGGACCCCAAGCCCAAATTTATTTATTATTATTTTATAAGCCCAAATTGATTGTGAAACAAAGATTGAGATTGAGAGGGGACCCCATTTTTGAATCTCATCATCCTTTTTTCAATAAATACCTCCATGCATGAAACCCTATTTTAACTAAGTGAACAAACATGTCTTCCTCTTCTTCTACTATGTTCTTCCAACATTTTCCAGGGCACTTCTACTCAAGAAGATTGCTACTACACACTCCTCTTTATTCATCACCTGCTATGGCAACCCCTCCCATGAGCCCAAATAGCCACTTGTCATTTGATGCAGACCATGTAATGGTCCTAGTAGTCCTCTTGTGTGCCCTAATATGCTCACTAGCTTTAGGATTGCATTCCATCATTAGGTGTGCTTTAAAGCGCACAAATATAGTAGCCTCTGAGAGTATGAACAACCCAGCGCCTAAGTTGGCCAATGTAGGCATCAAGAAAAAGGTTCTCAGCACTTTCCCAACACTGATTTATTCAGATGGGTTGAATCAGCCAGGCTTGGACAACGAGTGTGTGATTTGTCTTTCGGAGTTCACACACGGTGAGTGTGTACGAGTCCTTCCCAAATGCAACCATGGGTTTCATGTTCGGTGCATCGATGAGTGGCTCAATTCGCATTCCTCGTGCCCTACTTGTAGGCACTGTCTCATTGAAACGGGCACCCGAGCTAACTCATCAAGCCCGCTATCACCACCACCACCACCGGACACAATAATAAGCATTGTCCCACTAGAGCCTGAATGATTGAAACGGAATTACAGAAATGATCAAGCATTGTCCCATGTTTGTTCAGTTCAGTTAAATTAGTGTGGTGAGCCAAGTCAATGATATGTAATTTCTATTTTTTTTTTTTTTAATATAAAATTAGTTCATTTCTTGGCATGTAAAAAAAAAAATAAGGTAGTTGGAAAAGAAAATACTTCAATCACTTTCTCGTAATTTTAATTGATTTTATAATTTAGACTAGTCAAAGAAAGATGTCGAGTATATATATACATATATATATTACACACCCACTCTAAAGCAAAAGCATTGTCAAACACTTGCACAGCGTGGTCCTGTTAAAAGGAAGCACTGGCTCATAGAAGCAGACTAGAAATATGTTTATATTTTGGTAACCGTCGACGTCATTAAAAATTCAAATATAATGCTCCCACTTTTTAACAGTAAATTAAAGGTACCATTGTTTTTAAAAGTTAGACTAAAAAAACCTAATAAGTAATAGTTTTTTAACCTCACAATTATGAAAAATATATGCTTGACTAAATTATACTGATACTCTGAAATGAGGTCCAAAGTATAAGCAAATGCAAATTTTGCGAATACCTGCACTGTATAAAAGGTAGGTTTGCACCCGTATCGTTAAGGATCTTGAAGAGGCTTTTGATTTTGGGATATCAGAGATGGAGTCAAAGGTGACTTGGCCTTTGACGGTGTAAACATCTAGAGCAACATTTTTCAAGAGGTCAATATTTTCAAGAACTACATAAACGTTTTGGACTTTTTAAATTTTAGTCATTGCATGTGCTCCAATGATGCATTTTAGCTTTTCAAAAATAATATTATTTTAATATTTTTTAAATAATTAATAATTTTTTTAATTGGTTAATGTATTTTTCTTCAATATCTATTTTGTGTTGATGTATTTATTATAGAGGTGAAAACAACGGCAATTTTTTTCTTCTAAAAAATAAAAATAAAAACTTCATTTTTAAAGGAAAAAATTAAAAGAAAAAAACAAAAATTTGAAATTAACTTTTCTGGGGCAATAGAGTCGTTAAGCCAATGTTTATGCAGTAAAAAAAAAAAAGAAAGAAAAGTGAAATTAAATTTATTTTTTGGCTTTTTTTTTTTTAACTAAAAAGACGTTTTAGGCACTGTTTGTGTCAACAAAATAGTGTCTTAACGGCTCTTAATCGGCTCTTAATTTCAGTATTGTTCAACGAAAAAAGAAAAGTAAAAAAACTAATGTTTTGCAATTTATTGAGTCAAAGTGGCCCTTGGAGTAGTTTACATATATTTTCATTGGCCAAGATAATTTTTCCCACCTTTTTTTATTAACTTTCTTAGCAATTGTGTTGATATAATATAAAAATATTTTTTCTTATAGTGAAAGATAAACTTATTTAGCGGTAATTAATTTAATATAATTTTTTCTTTATTAGAGAAATTCATATTCTCCAGTTTATTCTATATATCATTCCAATTATATGATGAGCCAATATGTCTCAGGGTAACAAAAAAATTATTATTCTAAGGTATACCAACATTCATACCCCGGTTCATATTGTGTTGACCAATACTCCCAAGTTCACATCTTTGTTTAAAATTTTATAAAAGGGGAATACACAATCCCCACCTATTCTAGTAAATTAATTGTTGATAAAAATTTAAAATGGAATATTTTTAAAGTTGATCCTTTTTAAATTTTACTCCTTATATGTTAATTGAATAGTGAAACTTCAATTAATATTGAGAAGGAATGATTTATTTTAAATAAAGAAATTGAAAGGTATTATTTTCAATTTCAAAAGAGATCCAGAAAATTATCCAGAAGGTATTATTTTCTTTATTTAAACATAAAGATTTTTAGAATTATAGATTAAGAAGGAATGATTTATTTTAAATAAAGAATCTCACTATTCAAAAGAAAATTTTAATATTGAATAGTGAGATTCTTCACTGACCTAAAACACTTTTATTGATATTGAGAAGGGATGATTTATTTTCAATTTAAATAGCTTTAAGTCAATCGAACCGAAAATGAATTGTTTAGTATATAATTAGGAGAAACAAACTATGCTGGATCTGTCATCTGCGGAATGAATCAATTAGGTTAGGCAATGAATTTGTAAGTATATAGTTTTGGGAGTGGCCCATGAACTTCTGTGCGTACAGTTTTAGGAATTGCTCGGATTGATGCTTTCACAAATCACTAGGAATGGAAGGGAAGATTGTGATGCTATTGTAGGGAGACAAAGATAGTGGATAGGAGACGGTTTACAGAGAGGATTTGGAGAGAGAGAGAGAGAGAGAGAGAGAGAGAGAGAAAAAAAATAAAATAAAATAAAATTATTTGCTTATATCAGTAGGAAGGTATTTTGGTACTTATATGAAAAAAAATTAGTCAAAATTGATGACTAGGGGTAATTTTCTGAAAAGATGGATAATATAGTAATTATATGCACTTTTTTTTTCTCAACCTTTAATATATATATATATATATAATTATATTTAATATTTTAAAAACCCTTATTATTTTGTTGGAATTGTCATTTAATATATTGATATTCACTATTTAGTAATTTAAAAGTTGGGCAGCTTATTTATCAATCCAATTTGAACACATTGAGTATTTATTTATTTATTTTACATAATAAAAGTTGCATAACTAGTCCCGTCTTGCAATTATACGTGGGGTGTAGTCGGTATTTTGTCTATCAGAATAGGAATGAGATGGTATACCAATTACAAACGTAGGGGCAGAGTTGGTATGACGGATTTTCTAACGAGGCAAAATAAAGTTTTATCAAATCTACCCAAACTCTGTCCCGTTGCCATTCATATGGAGTATATTGACGGACAATCTTAACCGTCTTGCAATTATACATGGGGTGTAGTCGGTATTTTGTTTATCAGGGGTAGGAACGAGATGGTATACCAATTACAAACGTAGGGGCATAGTTGGTATGACGAATTTTCTAACAAGGTAAAATAAAGTTTTATCAAACTTGTCCAAACTCCGTCCCGTTGCCATTCATATGGAGTATATTGACGAACAATCTTATAATTTCAGGACTCCACCAGTATTTATATATAGCTTTTTAATATAATTTATGTATATTCCTATGTATGTTTATTATGCTATGGAATGTTGAGTATCAATTAAGTAAAAAATTTGAAGTAAAACTACTCCATGATTTTTGCAAGCAATATTAACTAGGGAAAATTACCATCAAGTCCAATTTTTTACATTGAAAAACAAATGTGTCTTAAATATTATCTCTAAGACAAGTAAGTCTCACTTTTGAGATTGTTTTTTTTGATTTAAGTCCTAAATGACTAAATCTTCCATTTATGCTCTTACAAATTAGATATATTATTGCTAAATTAGATATAAATTCATTCTCAAAATTTCATACATACCTTTAGACATAAAATTTGAATAAAAAGAAAATAAAATAAATTTTATTGAATATTTTATAGAATAAATTTGAAATGATAATTACAAAAATAAAAAATTTGCTATTTTATTATATAAATAGATGAATACTGTTTTTTTATTAAATTAAGAACAAATCTATTTTGGACTTAAATGATAAAAAAAAATAAATAAATAAATAAAAAAAAAATCCTCAAAATAGATATACATTCATACTCAAACTTTCATACATTCCTTTAGACATAAAATTTGAATAAAAAGAAAAGAAAATAAATTTTATTGAATTTTTTATAGAATAAATTTGAAATGATAATTATAAAAATAAAAAATTTGCTATTTTATTATATAAATAGATGAATAATGCTTTTTTTTATTAAATTAAGAACAAATCTATTTTGGACTTAAAAAAAAAAAAAAAGAAGAAAAAAAGGTAGGATTTATTAGTTCTAAAGAATTGTTTTTGGAATTTTGTTGTCCTCCCTCTCACCAACCGTTCGACTAGCCAAATCTGTCCCCTTCGTTCTTTCAGTGTGTCTTCAGTTTTCTCAACTCATTTAGCGTCGACATCGTCCTGCCGTTGTTGACATCGATCCAGCCAAGGTCTCGCCGTCTTCTTTCGATTGAGGTATTTTTTTGTTATTCAAAAATCCCTTTTTCTTTTCTAAACCCTTCCTCTATTCGCTATTAGAGACTATATAGGTGTGTCTAGGTTAGGCTCATTAAACAAAGAATTTGAGCTTCACCTCCTCTTGACAAAATTTCCTTGTACTTCAATGTTCCAATTTTTTAATTTTTTATTTATATAATTCTGAATATATCTACAAATCTTAGGGTTTTTAATTTCAATATTTTTGTTTCAAATTTGCAATTTACTGAAGATTTGCCTATAGGTGTACGATTTTCATCATTCAAAGGTATTATTTCTTTCTTTATATTATCATTTCTAAATTTGTTGGGTTTAGTTGATCTATTTATTGTTTCTATTTATTTTATATGTATGAACTTATGTTAACTAGTAAAATTGAAAAATCTGCTATATTGGTTAGGTTCAAGAACTTCACCTTTAATGCTTATAAATTTCGGTAGGATTCATGTTTATTAATTTAATAGAAGTGGCAAATCTAAGTCAGTTCTTTAGGGAGAAAATTTAGTAAATGTACAAGGTTTTGCTAGTGGATATAAATAGTTTAAAGGACAGTCACTAGTAAAAATGATTCAATGCCAATCTAAGTACCATGTTCATGCCCCTAAGAAGGATTTCGCTACAGATATTTGTTAATAAGGCAATTTAATGCAATTACAAGGGACATTAATTTTTCTCCAACGAAGAAGATATGGACTCACATTTTAAAGGCACAGCTTATCGTAATATCACAATAACTGATCTTAAATTAATATATTTGTAAGAAATATTTAATGGGTGTTATCTAATTTCTCTTTATTTTTGTTTTTGGATGATGTCCTTAACCCCATATCTCTTTTTAAGAATATTGTTGGTTGAAATTTAAAGAATATTGCTGTAATGACCTTATCATTTTCCTCTTTTTCTAACAATTTTCTTTTTCCATTATTTAATTGTTTATCATTTCTTTTTCATGTAACCTTAGGGTTATGGGAACCCGAGTTAGGGTTTTGTGTTCGGATTCGATTTCCGACTTCATTTGCATTTACACCATTTTATTTTGATGAAATGCGTGGCATTACTTTTGTA